TACATGTGTACATGTATTATAATCATAATCATTGATTTAGGGTGAAATTTTGGGATCCAATTTCAAGATGTACGTGTAGTTTAAATTGGGTAATTTTCAAGTGTTATAAATTTAATACCAAATAGAAAATTTAAATGCTGGACATTTTCATATGCTTCGTGCAAAAATTACCATCATATTAAATAAACCAAAATTAATAGTACATGTACAATCATTGATTTAGGGTGAAAATCTAGGATCTAACTTCAACATGTGTGTGTAGTTTAAATTGGGTAATTTTCAAGTGTTATAAATAACAAAATGAAAAATTTAGATGTTGGACATTTCATATGCCTCGTGCAATAACTAAGGTCATATAAAATAAACCAAATTTACAGTACATGTACATACATGTACATGTACATGTACATGTACGCATGTTACATGTTACATGTAGACCTACTGTTGATCGTATTCCCTGCTGTGTAATGTATGTCTTGAGGATGCCACTGTCTGTCTTTTGGGGATAACCAAAATCTAATATTTCTATAAACAGAGAGAGAGAGAGAGAGAGAGAGAGAGAGAGTATAATTTTGACAACAAAGAAATAATTGCAAATTCTTTGTTACAACATGTAATTTGCTGCAATTAAATGTACATGTACATGTACATGGATTGAAATTGTCATTAGCAATGCATGTGTATTTTACCATTATTGTTATTATTATTATTAAATAAGTAACACGTATATGTAGTTATTCTCAAGTACATCCACGTACATGTAACAGAAAATTCTCCATTTTAATAATTTTTTCAGATACATGTATACATGCATGTATTTAATGTTGCGTAGAAAGTTTAAGTTGATTCCAATCTAAGCTCATTCCAATCTAAATTGGATTTTTATGTACTTTTAAAGTGGCTTAAAAATCAGGTCAAAGTCCCTGTACTATAGTACAGGGATTTGGCCAAATTTCGCCAAAATTGAAAAAGAGAGAATTCTCAATTTTTATATTTTTTTCAGATACATATACAAGTACTTATGTTGTGTAAAAAGTTTGAGCTCATTCCGATCAAAATTGGATTTTTAACAAATTTTTAAAGTGGCTTAAAAATCAGCTCAAAGTCCCTGTACTATAGTACAGGGATTTTGGCCAAATTTCGCCATAAATGAAAAGCAGAAAATTCTCCATTTTACATTATTTTCCTGATACATGTATGTACTTGTACTTATGTTGTGTAGAAAGTTTGAATTTGTTCCAATAATAATAATAAATTGCTTCAAAATTTGGCCAAAAATAGGACATACATGTACATGTACCTTAAGCCTACTACTATTTGTGTCTACTAATTTTAGCAAAATCAGCAAAAGTCATGTTTAGCGTTACTAATTTTAGCGTTTTTAACCAAATTAACTATAAATAATAACCATTATAATGAATAATAATTATTTTGGCGTCTATTTAATTTAGCAGTTTAAAGCTCTCTCGCTAATATAGCTAAATTTAGTAGACGCTAAAAATAGTAGGCTTAAGGTAATTAATCTTATGACACATACACATGTACATGTAGCACATGTACAGCAGTCATTGTACATGTACATGTACATTTACATGTACAGTAACTGTGTATAATGTATGGTACTCTTTTGTTTTATTTTGTAAAAAAAAACCGTGTACATGTACATGTACATGTACATGTACAGTAACTGTGTATAATGTATGGTACTCTTTTGTTTTATTTTGTAAAAAAAACCATGTACATGTACATGTACATGTACATGTACATGTACATGTTTCTGGTATCCAAACAAAATAGAATACATTTATTTGCTTCAAAATCTTGCCTTGGAAAGTTACTTTATTCCGGTTAATTAATAGAAAATAGCAGTAGTACTAGATCAATATATACTTTTCAACTCAGACTGCATTCTTCTAGTACTAAAGAATGCCATGTACATGTACAACAACTACCATCAACAAAGAAAGAGTTTGATCACCATGGCAAGTACACATGTACATTAAAAATGCACACTTGCATGACACAATATGATAGTTATTGCTCTTTAGTAGTATTTTACACAGTGCAGACTATAAGTCCATTAGAATGATGCTTCATGACTATACTACATGTACATGCAGTACTACATCATGTATGTACAAATACATGTACATCAGCATTAGTGCTTCTGCTTAAGCATTTTCACAAGTGCTTTAGATGTGCTTGAAGCACATTGCTATATTGAAATATTTGTGCTTGGTTTGTGCTTAAGCATTTTCCCCAGTGTTTTATGAGGTGCTTCAAGCGTTTTAGAAAGTGCTTGCCTCATGTCTGACATGTACATGTATAGGGTACAGATACCATATGGTAGAGGAAGTCAGGCTAGTCTACACTCATCTTTGCAAAATAAAAACCAGACAATTATGACACCATAATAATAATAATAATAATAATAATAATAATATACTTATACAAAGTTTCCAAAAATTATTATCGTATACACAAGTACAGGTACATTTTCTTCTAAAACATAAAATTTCACAATTAAAAAAAGTGATGACGTACATATACATGTACACATATTAAAACGTAAAATATACATGTATATGTACAATAAATTTTAAAATAAATAATAATAAATAATAATAATAAGTAACTTGTACATGTACAAGTTACTTATTATTATTAGGGTTGAATACATGTATTTATTATTATTATTATGTAAATGCCTTTTTTCTTAAACATAAAATTTCACAAATAAATGATAATTAAACATGTACACGTTTATGTAACAAAATAATTATAAAATATATAATACATTCTTTAATTAATAAAAACTTGTACATGTACATGTACACTCACCGTCTAGAAGTTCGTAAATTAATACGAAATTATTCTTTACATTCTCCTCGGTGATGTCTCCGAAATAAGACGAGAAGAGATCAATCATCTTATGAAGGAACTCAAACACGAGAGCAGCATTGACGTTCTGTTGCGTACAAGCAACGACCCAAACGGCTCCTTTCTTAACATGACAATAACTGGTTCTCGCTATGTTTGATACAGGAGACCTCACGGCGTGTCTAGCATGGATTACGCTCACACGAAAAGCATCTATAGTCGCCCGACTGTATAAATTATATATAATAAAGTTAAGGGGTTGTTAGGGAGGGACTCACGTGACCGAGTCTCTGAAGACTCGGGATATGAGGACTTCTCCTTTGTGATTGTATACAAATACACCCCCTATCATCCTGGGACTGTATTGGAGGGAATGAGTGGGTGAGCGTGCGTTTGTTGTATCGTGTTGGTTACCTCTCTGAGGCTAAAGTGATCCTCTTTAGTCGTTTTTGTTGAGGAGGGCCCGGGAACCGAGAGGAAGGAGAGGGTACTCACAAAAAGACCGCAGGATACGCCCAAATCTAATTAAACGAATTTTAAAATAATTTTCAAACTTTAAAAACAATACGGTATTGAGTTGTTTTAAATAGAAACATTACGGTATTAATGGCTGGATTGATAGATCCATCGAGAGGAATTTATGGTTTTGTATTTTATTTGGTGACTCTTGCTTTATTTGGTACGTTGTATTAAAATATCAAATAAATTGAAAAATTTTATTTCTTCAGGTATTTATTTATTGTGGGCCATTCTTCCTGATGAATGGCTCCAATACATTGGACTAAGTTACCTCCCTCAAAAGTAATTGTAAAATTATAATATTTATTATTATTTTTTGCTTATTTTTATCATAGATATTGGGCGATAGTGGTTCCCCTGTACATTGGTGTCTCCAGTATATTATTGTTATTATTATACGTTTGTTATAGCATGTGGCTCACTCCTCCATTTGATGACTTACAAACCATTACAGGTATGATTTATATATATTATAATAATTAATTATTTTATTGTTTTTTATTAATTAATTTACTACGACAATGGTACTATTATTATTATTATTATATTCATTTTATAAATGTTATGATAGGGGGCAATAAACTTGCCTTCTAGATAGGGTTTTCCACAAAGTATTCTAAGTGAACATTAGCTGGCAGCAGTACATCTGGCATTTGGAGCAACTTCTTTAAAAAATTAAATTTGATCGGAATCAACTCAAAGTTAATACATAATATAAGGACATGTATGTGTATAAAAAATTTTAAATGGAGAATTTTTTTCTAGTCATTTTTGACAAAATTTAAAAGGCTATTATAGCCTTGGGTCATTGTCCATTTTTGAACAACTTTAAAAATTCATTAAAAATCCAATTTTGATAGGAATCAGCTCAAATTTTCTACACAACATAAGACATACCGTAGATCAGGAAATTAGTGTGGTACAAAATTTTTGTGTTTTAAAATTGTGCTGTGACTTAATTTTCACTAAATAAGACTGTGTCATGTATTATTGAATGTGGCATGTAATTATATGGGTGATCTAATTTTTTTTTGCGAAATTCTAATCCAGTAAAATTAAAATCACAGTAAAAATTTCTAGATAGACGGTATACGGTATATGCATCAGAAAAAATTATAAAAATGTAGAATTCTTTTCTAATGATTTTTGTCAAATCACAAGTTCCTGTACTATAGTACAGGAACTTTGGCCTAACTCCTGAGCAGAAACTGCATGAGTACTTTCCCAAAATTTTGTGGAAAACCCTGCTTCATATTAATGATGTCTTAGTCAATATAGTTTAATTTATAATTTAAAAACAAAGAAATAAATAAAATACATGATTGTGATAATATTATTGATGATCATTTCTGTTGTCCTTAATAATAATATTTTTTTTAGATAATTATGCATTGTATAAAAATGGGGAAACAAGTTCACAAATAATAAAAGACATTCCAATAACAATGGTGAACAGACAAACATACAAAATATGAAATAAAAATATGATTGTACTATTGTTTAAACATTATTTTTTATTGTCAGAGCGTACAACTATCATTATTTTTGAACTACCTCTACGTGTTCCTTTTTTCCCACTGCTGCTGCTACTGGTTGAAGTTGTTGTTGCTGGTGAGGTGGGTTCATCAGTAGGGCTAATCCCAGTTCGATTCAGCCCAGTATCAACTGACATTGTCATGGCTCTTCTAAGCCCCTTTAGTCCCCATTTGTTCTCTGTAGGCGAGGAGCTTCTGTCTCTTTTGAAAAATGACAGCCCGTACCTTCGCTTTTCCGGACTTTTCTTTTCTTTCTTTTGCTTAGCACCTTTCATTGCTTTGGCCTGCTCTGGTACTGGTTTAGGCTCTTTCCTCAATTGATGCGATGGTAGTATCGGAGTGGATATGTGAGTGCTTAGCTTAGTGTGACTGTGACTGTAATCATCGCTGCTTTCTTTCTCAAAGCTCCTCTGCATGTGAGTGATGAGTGGGCTCGGTGGTTTGAGACGACGATGGAACGAAAGCTCAAACGAGCTCTTGCTGCGTCGTAGTTTAGTGTTACGGGCAAAATATGTAGAGTCCGTTGACATTTCCTGGAGCTTGCTATCGCTCTCTGTTTCATCGGTAGTCTCAAAAATATTATCAAGTTGGTAGATTGCTCTTCTTCTGTTGTTGAACCGTCTCTCTAGTCTCCCAATACTAGAATGAAGGCTCATGCTTCTCTTTCTCTGTGCCTTTACGTCAGCATCAAAAGAGTCGTAGGTCTCCTCAAAGTCGTGCTGGAGCTTCTTTGAATTTCCGCTGTCTGTTTTCGAGAGCTCTTTGATGATCTCACCCATTAAAGAATCATCAGTTGGTTGCTTTCCTTCAGTTCCAGTTGCCCCATTGACTGGTACAGTGTACATTGACTCGTCTCTCTCATCGTGTCTGGATAGATCGGGAGTGCTGGTATCAATCACGTACATGCTGTTAGGCTGGGACTTGTTCCTACGATGGCGTCTAGTAGTTATTCCAGTAGTATCAAGATTAGTGCTCCAGGCTGGTGGGTTGATTGGTGATGTAGAAGAGGAATACTCCTCGTCGTCAGTATTACTGTCGCTCTCCTGTAAGGGGGCTGCTTTCTCTACTAGCATAGGGCAATCATCTGCAAAATCATTCTGTTTGCTGGCCTTTGATTGAGTGAGCTCCCCAAAACTGTCTGCCCTCTGTGGGTCTGAGTTTGAACGTTGTACGTCATTATAGTCGCTTACGGAGTTGCTCTGTCTTAGCTTCAAGTGGGACCGAGAGGCTTTGTGACCAAAATCGCTCATTTTCCTCTCTGGTAGAGCATTGAGACTAGACGTCCTCTGCCACATTGGGGGAGCAATGCCAAATGATAAACTCGTACTGAGGGAGTGAGGGGAGGGACAAGGATTGGCGGAGTTCCTCCTAAAGCTTCTTTTTGATTCAGTAAACCCGTGACAAGGTACGGTATCACGTCTGCCCGGTCTAGGGGATAGTATCTGACCATCAAACGGGAAGGCATTGGAAGAGTTACTGCTCAAAGTCGAATCGTTTGAGTTGACTCGGTGGAACCCGGTTCCAGCAGAAAGAAGAGGTGAGGCTCCTAATCTCGAATCAGGTGGATCGAGGGAGAAGTCTTGTGATACGCCATGGAGTGTACGCTCTTGACGGAGCGACTGGAGTATGTGGATTGTGGGTATCGTTCGGGTTAGAGCTGAATCATAGAAATCCTATATAAAAGTAAAGTGTGAAGTAGCATTTCAACATTATGATTCATTAAAAAATAACAGTGTTATTATTATCATAGTTTTATTTTTATCAAAATTTAAAGCCAACATACACTACAAGCAACATGTTGCCAGCCTTTGATCTTTCCATTAACCTTGTTGAGAGGGATAGAAAGGTTTTCTATGCAAGGCAACATGTTGCTTGACTACATCAAAGCATATGATTAAAAGCTGGGCAAATGTTGAAAGCAACATAATGTACGTTGGGCTTAATGCCTGTAGCAAAATTTCAGGACGATTAATTTTTAAGTTTGAGCACATGCCAATTCTAAGCTATTGTTCATAAAGAAACATACACATGTATCATGGTTCTAATGGTGTTCAGAAAATGTAAATGTATTCTGGAATCATTGGTCATTATAAAGCAATGATGTGTAGTCGTTTATACCTCAGAGAAATTAATATTTAGTATAATTATTTTTATTAAAATAATTATTATTTTGCAAATTAGCATCATGTAGTTATGTTAACACTAAGTCAAGGGCTAAACAAACATTTGGTGTAAAAAGGGAAGAAACAATTTTTAATATTAAAAAATTCAATTTTAAGCTAATAAGCAGTAAACATCAATGAATATGTGTATGTTCATATGTACCATATTTCCTCAAATAAAAGCCCAGGCATCTATTTCTTAAAATAACATTTGGACTTTAAAAAAAAATTTTTTTTAAAGATAAAACTTGAGCCAACAGTGGCTGTCAAACCCAGGACCTGACACAAGTCACTTTAGGAAGCTTAAGAAATTATTTACAAGGCATCTATAATACCTTAAGGCTAGATTTGAGTATTTATAGTTCAATTTTATTGCTAACCCAGCACCTGGCTTTTATTTGAGGATATATGGTACATTGTGTGCATAGACTCTTACTTGTGTTGATATTATTTGGTCTCTCCATCCTTTAGCGATATGAGCAGAATTAGCTTTGAGTGTGAACAAAGCTGACAATACTTTAAACTCATTCAATACAATGCAGCAAACAGCATCTGTTAAGAAGAGAAGAGACACTAAAATGAAGTTATTATTTATATGCAAAGATGCTATGAAGTAAGAGTGCATACAAAAAATACTTTTTTAAAATAAAGACACATATTGAATAATGCTTGCTTTTCATTCATGCACATGTACATATACCATATAGTAGTTTCTTCGAGGATAACAAATTTTGAAAATTTTGTGGATTTTAAAAAATTTGCAAAATTCTTTGAAAATCAATTTAATACGGTAAAAGATGGCAGAATGGTGGAAATTTGGAAAAAATTAATTTCATGAACCTCTGGTACAGGTCATTTGCAAAAATTATTATCCTCAAAAAAACCCCAGTATACTGTATTCCACTGCAATAATATTAATAATAATAACAAATTAATAATAATAATACTATACCTCCTTTTAATTCGACTTGAATGTTTGATATTTTGTAAGGCTATAAAATACAAATGCAATGTATACATGTGAAGATAATATGGTATGTGACTCACTGGTCTGATGATGGTGTAATTCTCCACTTTCCCTTTATTAGGTTTAGTAATCAATAACATGTCAGAGAACAAGAACACGTGAGCGACCATCTTCACACAAAAAAGAAAAAAACAATAATGAGGATAATAATAATAATAGTGAATGGTAATGAATATTTGGTAAAGATATACCGTATAGCTCTTTAATTTGGTGAAGTTTTATTTTGGCGATTGGCAGTTTGCAAGCAGAATCACCAATATTAAAACCACCAATCATTAATGCGCATGCTCAGTAATGCATGTGTACACAAAAATTGCCAAATTAAAAACCGCCAAATACACTTTTACAGTAAAATCGCCAAAATAAAGCGCCATCAAAATAAAGCGTTATACAGTAGAGAGAAAGGAGAGAGTAAGATAGAGAAGGAAAAAGAGAAAGAGAGAGAGGGAACAAGAGAAACAGAGTAAAGCTTGACTTAGAATACAAACTGTATATATATATGAGATCAGCATAATTATTATAACACATCTATACATGTTGGCTTCTATCATAATTACATGTATATTATTATTATTATTATTTTGTTCTCACTTTGTCTTTTTGGTCTCTGAAGCGTAGTTTACCTTCAAGTACCAGCAGGCGGATCTTAGTAACATCAACGTCAGGCATTGGAGCCATCAGATCCAAGTGAGTGTGTGGCTGAACAAACTAATCAGAAAAAAACAATATTATTATTTATTATTATTATTATTATTATTAACCATTATTATTATTATTGTTGCTAATATTATTGTTATTATTATTATTAATATTATTATAAAATATTATGAGTATCATTCTATCATTCATTTTTATGTTTAAAATAAATGCCTTAATAGCTGGTAATTTTAGAGTGGGAAAATTTTGGCAGATTTGGCATTTTGATAGCCATACATTCATCAAAATTAAACCCACCATTTTGAACCTTTTATGCACATGCATGCATGCTTAATGGCGCATGGCTATAAAGTTGCCAAATTAAAACTATAAAAAGATTAGCAATTTGCCAGAATTTCACTCCTCCAAAATTAGCAGTTATACAGTATATCAATAGTACAAATTATACAATGTGTCTTTACTTCTTTGAAGTCTCCTGGTATCTCTACTGGAGCATATCCAACAATTTTCTTCATCACTTCTTGTACTCTTGTCGTCTCGTCTTGAGTCTTCAAAGCACCATTGACAGTATCAACAAACAATGAGACATCCTCAATCTATAGAATTAATGATAAATTACTAATAAATGTAAAAGAGTTTAGTAATGTACATTACATGTATATGCATCATAAAATGATGTGATTCTAAAATAATTGATAGAATTACAATCTCAGTTCCTGATTTACTCATGTATATCATTTATTACATGAATTTTTAATTTCAATTTCCCTTCTAAATTCATTATTAATGAAATATACAATTATAAATTCAAATACCAATAGATCTAGCATTAATTTTGAAGATAAAAATTTCATTCAATATCTTAATTTTCTTTGACAGAATTTAATTTTCAATTGATAAAATGATTACCCGTATATCAAAAGATTATCCCATAGAGGCAGGAGTCAAATAGCTTATTACATTATACCATGCGTATCAGCGTATGCTATTACATCCTCTTATACATTATGATATAATGAGGCAAGACAAATGTGATTTAACACCATATAACAATTGATAACATTCTGATTTAATCAATAGGAAGACGTATATCAATATCTGTTATTTTAAGAAGTATTTCAGACAATATTTGTCACATCCTCCTCAGTTAGTTTAGACTACATAGCATAATGACCAAACTACCGGTGTATACGTATACCAGTAATGATATATCTTATTATGAAAGACATTTCAGAAATTGCTTGTCACATCCTCCTCAGGTAGTTTACGTTATGCAGCATGCCGACAATAAGAGATAAAGAAATTATCTTAGGCTATGAGGATATGATTCACAGTGAATTTGGTTTGATGATACTGGAGTGAATGAAGTAAATTGTTTAACTACAATGACAACAGTGACATCATGAATTCCTCCTCTATAGTAGGCTCACACCCATCCTACCTTTTAACAACAACAACGCTTAAAAAATTAGGAACTACCATATTTAGTCGTCCAAATATCAAATACACTAATACAGTCAGGCCTGTCTATTATGGACACCTTGGTACCCAATAATACCCTCCTGATTATGAACCTGTCCTTATTTCAGAGGTTCATTAATACACTTTTATATTGTATCGGGACTGATACTACCTGTCCTCATTATAAAGGCCTCCTTATTTTAGAGTGTCCACAATAGCAGGCTATACTGTAATACTAAAATGAATGTTACAATGCTTACTATATGCTTTAGTTCCTCAGTGTTGGCATGTTGAGGTGTCTTCTTGAGAATAGCTTGAAACAAGAGCTGGTACTTCATTAATCTTTGTCTTGGGATTGCCAGGAAGTCCTTCAACCTCAGCCTATTGCACTCAGGCTGTGACTCACACCACTGCATACAAGGGAACAGAAAAACAATTACTGAGTAATTTTTTAATTAATTACTTCATTGTAACAAAAATATTTTCTCTTCCCTACCCTCTCTGTCTCTATCTCACTAGCTTATAGTCAGTCGTGTGCGTAATTAGGTGCACGTACATTCATTATATAGTGGGTATATGTACATTCAATACATAGAGGGTATATACGTACGTCTACATTCGTTATAGGGGCATGTACACTCAGTACATAGAGGATGTGTACATTCATTATTATAGAGGGTATGTATTGTGTGTGTGTGTGTGTGTGTGTGTGTCTTAGATGCATGTATTATATATAAAGGGTATATGTACATTAGTTATATAGAGGGTATGTACATTAGGTACATAAGAGTATGTATATTCATTATAGAGGGTATATGTACATTACATTAGGTACATAAAGGATATGTACATTCAGTACATAAAGGATGTGTACAGTGTACATTCATCAAGAGTAGATAATTAGTGGGTATGTACATTCATTATAAAGGGTATGTACATTAAGTACATAAAGGTATGTACAATCATCAAGAGTAGATAATGTAGTGGGTATGTACAGGCTGATAGTCTATGGTGCAGGTGTGAATATGAATATTTTTAGAGTGTGTATACGTGACATGACAAGCAATCATATCGTGAGAGCATAGCACAAATCGTTGGATGAAGTTCAAGGACTATATGCCCTTCCTTTACAAGAGGAAAACAATGCTGATCCAGTGTAAGAAACACTTGTCCTCTCTCTCAGTGTACACATGTTTATGAAAGAGGATTGTCGTCATACAATAGCCCAGGAAAGGAAATACAATATACTGAGATGGTGTATCTGATGTCACCTTAACATATGCTCTGAAGTCGGCATCATTCATAGCTTCATCTAGTGAGTTGAGGTTAGTCGTCTCAAAGGCACAGTGCTGCTCATAGATATCAAAATCATCAGAAAACTGTAAAAAAATAGAAAGAGAGAGTAATGCACACAGTATAAGGAAAGTTATCAATACCATAATGTATAGTTCTGCCTATGGTGGTCGGGGGTGGTCAGGACAACCACCTCAACAAATGAACCAACCAGCTCATCACTTAGACCAACCATCCAATTAATACTAATAACCATACATAAAGCATGATATTGTAGTCTACTAGTATGGTGTACATGAATTTAAAAGGAACAATATTAGTCTCCAACCACCTCTAATTTATTTCTAGGCAGAACCCTGATAATGGTAGTTTAAATTATGAAGAATTCAATTTTAATATGTATTAATTATTTCATCATGGTATAGTTAGTGACGTAAGAAATGTCAAGCGCAAAAGAAACAACTGTCTAATTATGACCATTAAATAATTAGCAACGATTGACTGGTTGTGGAGTATGATTTGACTGTACAACGAACACAGGATGAGATACCAGACAATAGACACTACCACACCAGCAGATCACATATCAAACTGAGACACATCATTGTTACACTAGTAGGATCAAGGCAGGCTTTGATATCACATTACTAAGTGAGAGTAAACGTGTACTAAAGCTATATACGTGATACAGTAATTGTCATTACTGCATGACTAATTTATGCAAAGCATGTCAGAGTACATTAGAAAGTTGTAGCATAGAATTTCAATGTGTACTTAATAGTAAATACTACATCGAACCATCTGGCCCTATTGTGTGAATGGGCTGACCTGAGATGGAAACCTGAGGATAATATCATTAACATCTATAGGACAGTGCTCCATACGAACCTAATAATAATAATAATAATAATAATAATAAATAATAATAATAATAATAATAACAACATGTTGTTATTGTAATGCATTAAAGTTGTTATATATAACGCATAATTCGTAAGTCTTTACATTTAAAACAAAGTGTTTATACTGCTGCTGTAGTCAAAATGTACATGTACTGTATGTATTACTGTAAGCTTTACTGATAATCATAAACTACCTTTTCAAGGCATGGGTAGAGTGTACATGACCAAAACTGCTCATGGACTTTGTAAATATCTTCCATGTACCCAAATATATTATGATAATTAACCTGAGAGGGAGTGGGAGAGAGAGAGAGAGAAAGAGAGAGAGAGAGAGAGAGTATGTCTTAACAATCATAAGAAAAAGTATAAATGTAAGAACTATGCAACACAAATTCCTATACCAAAATTCTTATTATCATATCTCATTAAATTGAAATACAATTAAAAATAAAATTTAATGAAACTTACATCAGTTAGTAGACCTTGCCTTCTGATAAACTCCAACGACCTCATATAAATCTATTATACAAAAATAATAATAATAAAAATATAATACTCTAAAATATAAACTGACATTAATGATGATTTCAAGCTGCTTAAGGAAAGAGTGTTCGGTGACAATAAGCTCCCATATTGCCTGTTGGCATGACATTTGTGTGGAATTGAGACTCTGCAAGGAGACAGATAATGATGATACCTAATAATGCATTAAATCAAATTAAGTCTAATCACATTTTTGATGTCTTCTTCAATTGGCAGTTCATCCCACGAGCTTTCCTGCCAAATAGAAATATTTTAATAAAATAATAATAAAAATAATAATAACAATAATAAACAAACCTATCTTCTCCTACACCTTACATATTTTACCTATTATGTACTTTGTATGACTTAAATTATTTTATTTATTTTATTTTTATTTTTATTGTCATCCTCTTATTGTTGTTGTTGTTCTTATAATAATAATAATAAGTATAATAAGTATAATAATAATAATAATGCACATATGTGGCTCCATAGATCTCCTCTCCTCCTCCCTGAGGTGGGTAGGTCTATTTAACTTTTTGTTTATTTTGCTTCTTTTTTGTTTTGCCTTTGGGTTCTCTCTCTCTCTCTCCTCCTTTCTGTATATTTTCTCCTCTTTTTGTTGCCCTTTTCTCTCTCATTAATATTTCATAATAATAATAATAATTGTGACCATAATTGACAAAAGGGCCCTTATGGCGGATTTTAAAATTGATCTTAATAATGGCAAATATCAACCTGTGAGTGCTTTGTTAGACAATCATTGTTTTTAAAAGTTTCATGGTAACTTTTTGCATCCTGTGGAGTAATTTTATGACAAATGGGGCTCAGGAAGTTGGATTTCTTAGGCTAGAAAGACAAATTTCACTACCCGCCATAAGGTACCTTTTGTCAATTATGGTCACAATTAATAATTATACTTGTACTTACAATTGGATCAATAGGTTCATCAACTATTGGTGGTCTATAGATGTCATCGTAGCATTTATTGGATGGAAGTTTGATGATTCCATGTGTATCAAAATAATCCAAGCATGTCTGTACAGTCATTGTGACTACCTCACTCAGAGGCTGTAGAAAATAAGAAAAATATATAAATAATAATAATAATAATAATAGTAATAATAATAAGTATGTACATGTATGTTCAATTTTTGTGTGTGAGAGAGACTAAATAGAACAACAGGGCATGAGCTTACAGATTCAATTTCATTTTCTACAAAATTATTTTGTGATAATACAATTTGAATTGTGGTTCCCTGTAATTAAAAATCAAAGGATAAACAATAAAGCAATAATAATAATAGCAATAACTACATAATAATAATAATAATATAATAATAATAATGATAATAATTTACTAAATAATCAGTCGAAGGAGAATGGACATCAGCGACACAGCTATCACCAGTAGCATCATCCTGAGATATGATCATGTAATCAGAAATTCGTGTACAATCTTTCTTCTGCTCATAGAAAGCAGCCTCAAGGACATTACTACAAAACAGGTAGACATTACATAATATATAAACAAACACACACGCAAAGATAAGTGTCTAAAATGTACATGTAATAATATTTGCATATGGCACTCTACTCAAAGTACAAAGTGCATCAAATACCAATTTCACTAATGAAAATTCAAGCATACATTACCAATGACACAAGAACAAGAGGACAAACTTATATATTCCTTACATAAGTGGGACGCCTTCTTGAGCTACTCCTACAGTTTCGAAAGAAGTCGTGTCGTCTTCGAAATAAATCTTAAAGGCATTTGAAGAAAAAGGAGAAGCCTGGAATGATTGAAATAAGAACAATATTGATAAGAGATCTAGCAATTAGTGGTATAGGAAGATTGGAATGCCTTTGAAATTTGAATTGTTCTCGTTAGCACACCCACTAAGAGTGGTATCCACACAACCCAACAAAACAGCCTATAGCCTCCATGTACAATGTAGTTCCACAGCCCATTACACATTCATGTACACCATATCACATAAAAGCATTTCTCTATAAACCACACCATGTGGCTCTCAGACCCATCCCTGCTCAAGAGCGAGTAATTTTAAACGTACGTTTGATGTATCGGAGTCATCATTGCTATTATCAAAGACACAGGAAAGGGTTGGTCTTTTCTTTGCCTGTCTCCCCTCACTGTAGAAGTGATCAGGACTCCTACATGAAGAGACACACATGTATACACGGGAAAATTAACAGTCATTAAAGTACAAACAATAGCAATGACTGGTATTTAAGGTGGTACCTTGTTCACAATATGGGCTGTTGGATATAAAGTAATAATAATAACAATGTTTGTAAGTCATAGTCCAGTACATCATTCCACTACTCTCCTACCTGACCCAAGGGCTAAGGATACTTATTAGTAATACAAGAATGTGCAAGACTCTGTACCACAGTATTCTCTTACATTGAAAGGTCATTCATTTTTAAGTTACGGACCATTAGGTACGGAAAGACTTAGTACACAGCAACATATTAATTACATGTGAGTGTGTGAACTGAACCAGGAATGTCTTGAATTACTTACGTGGTTGAATCATTGCTTTCAGTTGAGTTGACTCGGGCTGGAGCTACAAATGGTTAAAAAAACAGTAATATTCCCCTTCTCTCTCTTTTACTCTCTCCCTCTTTCTCCCCCCTCTCTCTCCCCCCCTCTCTCTCCCCCTCTCCCTCTCTCTCTCTCCCCCCCTCTCTCTCTTCCCCTCTCTCTCTCTCCCTCTCTCTCTCTCTCCTCTTAAGCAAAGATAAAATAATAACTGTATGTTTTGACACTTTTAAAAGTTGTGAAGACAAAAGTAATTTGCTACAAATTACATTTTGATAGCTCAAATCACGCTAATATCATAATATCACAATAAATGTGTGTGTGCTACTTTAAAAGGGAAGTATAGGCTTGCAATAGGGGACTATACACAAACCATATTCGTGTATTATTACAATAGTCCAATCATTAAGTTACAATTACAATTTAACTACTGTCAGGCAAGTGGATGGGATGGTGTTGTTTGAGTAGTATGATCATTTACCTCCTCCTGATATTGTAGCTGTTCTCCTTGGACAAGTAACTTGATGATGTCCTAAACATTGCACATATTAAATCATTAATCATCATTATGATTATAATTATAATAAAAGGGTTCGCAGTGGCTTAAAAGAAGGGATAGGTACCATGCAGACCAATAAATGATTATAACAGTAAGCAATGTAGATATTTATGAATAAAAATTAATAATGTGCTTTACTTACCATCTTTGGATCCTTTGGTACTTTTGGTTCTATGCATTTCTTTGTGTTTTGCTTTTGGGGTTTCCTCTTCCTTCTTCCTTTTCAGTTTCCACGTGCCAGGCTGTACCATGAAAAAGCAAAAAAAATTAAAAAGTGTTTCCTGGCAAGCAGTTTATTATATTGTTGTTGATGCCATTCACTTGTTTGTCACTTATTCTCACTGCCCATTCAAAAACAATTTGCACTATTTAGTACTTTAAAGTGTATTCACTATCATTTTATCAGTAGTACTTTCTGTACACAAACCCACAAAATATTATTCATTGATCCTTTGAGCAAAAGCATGCAAAAAAGCTTACCATACTGAAAGATTACAACTCGAACACTCTCAATGTGAAGAAATACTGGAAAGAAATATCGGATCAGAGAAGGATCTGTTGTATTTTAACACTGTTCAGGTATGGACTATGATATTCAGAGTAAACAGCACTCGAAGAAGCAGCACAAGCTTTTTGATGCTAAGAAGTTCACGGCTCCTCCTATTATAATGAAGCCTGGCAGACCACACCTCTGTAAAAGGAATGGCGGACGGAAGGAGTGAAGATGTACCCGGAGAAAAATGGGACAGATGCGTGGCAGACACTTTACTAAAATCAGGCAAGACACCAAGACATTAAATTGCTTATATTTATATTTATTTTTAGGAGTTGGACTTGGAATAGGTGCCCTGTGTTCATTAGTATTGTTTAAACGTAAGCAAAATAATTTAAATAACTAAATTATTTGCAAGGGATAGAGTATTAATAAATTGCACACTTATCAGGGCCGTTACTGTATTAGTGGGTAATTTTAGATGAACAAAATGTTGTTAATACTATGCAACATGTTTTCTCACAATGCATGCTTCACGAGCTGACCTTTTGGTATAAAAAATCAGTTTTAATCATTAAGGATTAATACATGCTTGTATCAGGAGCTGGGAGTGATTTGGGAGCCAATTTTTGGATAAAACCATGACCTTTTCTGCTTTTTCCAAAATTGGTTTGTTTCTTAAAATGCTCATAACTCAAAAATATTTGGTTGGGAACAGCTCAAACTTTCTACATAGCATAAAGACATCAATATGTATCAGAAAATGTAATAAAATTTTGGGGTGATTCTTGAGTCATTTTTTGGAAAAAACCATGGGCTATAGCCTTGGGTATTTTCAGAATCTGGACAATTTTTTTTAAATGGCCGTAACTTGAAAAATTTAAGTTGAAATCAGCTCAAACTTTCTACACAGCATAAGGACATCAATATGTATCAAAAAACGTAATAAAAATTTGAGGTGATTTCGGAGCCATTTTTTGGAAAAACCATGGGCTATAGCCTTGGGTATTTTTCAGAATTTTGACATTTTCTTAAAATGGCCATAACTTGAAAAATTGAAGTTGGAATCAGCTCAAACTTTCTACACAGCATAAGGACATCAATATGTATCAAAAAACGTAATAAAAATTTGAGGTGATTTCGGAGCCATTTTTTGGAAAAAACCATGGGCTATATATAGCCTTGGGTATTTTTCAGAATTTCGACATTTTCTGAAAATGGCCATAAACTTGAAAAATATTTGTCGGAATCAGCTCAAACTTTCTACACAGCACAAGGACATCAATGTGCATCGAAAAACGTAATTAAAATTTGAGGTGATTCCGGAGCCATTTTTTGAAAAAACCATGGGCTATAAAATAGTCTTGGGTGTTTTTCAGAAAATAGCTCAATTTTTTAAATGGCCATAGCCTGGAAAATTTTCGTTGAAAATAGCTCAAGTTTTGTACACAACATAAGGGACACCAATACGCTAATGATGTACATGACATGCTTGCTTTTTTGTTAGGAGAAAAAATTGCAGTTATAATAGAAAACAAACTTTTAAAAAGCTGATTATTTACAAGCATTATTGCCCTTAAAATCCACCAAGAGTTATAATCATAATAGTTTGTATTCGTAATAGCCACTCTAAAATGTAATAATAATAATTATTATTATTTTTATTTTAGGTCGGACCTGGCCAATAGTTCTCGGTACTGGTTTTGGATTAGGTTTTGCCATATCAAATTGTCAGCATGATTTTAAAAGAGTGGAGAGCTTACATATGAAACCAATAAAGTTGACTGTTAAAAACTAACAATTATCTATTTGTTCATATTATTAGTGTCCATTGTATCACATCAATTTGTTGCTTGATTATTATTGTCAAAGGGAAGTTGTAAAAAAGCTAGTGCAATTTAGTAAAAGAAAAATTGAAAAAAGAAACGACCCTGTTCAGATTAGTAGTATCCTATGTATCACATCAATTTCATCGAAAAAGAAAAGTACAATTTTCAAAAAAAAGGTAAAAGAAACGACCCTGCCAGGATTTGAACCTGGAATCTTCTGATCCGTAGTCAGACGCCTTATCCGTTGGGCCACAGGGCCTCACCGGAAGAATAGGCTGGTTTGTAAGTAATTAATATTATAATTATAGGAGAAGTGATGCCATGTGGGGTGGTTTATGCGCATGCGCTGATTCTTCTATTTCTTCAATTTTTGACTTTGAGTAACTCTGAAAGATCTTCAACCATCCCTATTTAGCCTACTCAAAATGCCTTCTAAAGCCGTCAAGGTAAGATATTGAGCTGCATGAAGTAATGTTGAACTTTACTTTATAATAATACAGAAAGGAGCCGGGAGCAAAAAGGGAAGTAAAGCAAAGAAAATCCAGCTAAAATACACTGTAGACTGTACCACACCAGTAGAGGACGAGATTATGGACGCTGGAGCATTTGTAAGTCAATACACCAACCTATTGAACTGATGAAATGATAAAAGCACATGAAGTTGGGTTAGGGTTACCTTCCCTTGTCCCAAAACATGGCCGTGTGTGCTTTATTGTTATTGTTACTGTAGGAAGATTTCCTGAGGGCTCGTATTAAGGTTGGTGGTAAGACTGGTAACCTTGGGAATGAAGTGAACCTGGCACGTGACAAGAACTTGTTGACAGTGACATCAGAGATACCATTTTCAAAAAGGTACGACCACACATTGTTGATAATTAACAGTATATCTTTGGGTTGTGTATGTGTCACATGTGTCAATATTCTTACATGTACTTTTATTATGTCGTATATTAAACAGCCAGAAATATTGGTGAGAGTTTGTGAAAAATTTATAATTGGCCGATTTTATATTGGGGATGTAACAGTGACATATCATTGGACATGCTCGGAATAAAGCAAAATGGTGGATTTTATATCAGTGTTTACATAATTTACCAATAAATTGTACTTTGTTCTATAGTCAAAGAATACTACTCTTTTTGTAGGTACTTGAAGTATTTGACTAAGAAGTTTCTCAAGAAGAATCAGCTCCGTGACTACATACGTGTTGTCGCTAATGCCAAGACCTCATACGAGTTGAGGTACCTTCACATTGCTGGAGCTGAAGATGATGAGAGTGATGATGATCAAGATTAAACCTTCTTTATTGTTATTATGCTCACTGTACATTTTGAAGAAAGTGATTAAAATTATAATTTAAGTGGAAATTATAATTAATTGCATTTCATGTTGCATATCATATCAGAGTCAAAAATTCACAGCTATCTTTTAAAAAATTATATTTACAATCAGTGCATGTGGGTGGAAGTCATTGGATCAATTGCCTGAAATTTTATAGGCAAAACAATTAAGCCTACTAAGATAGGGTCAAGCTAACTTAAAAAGTAATACTTCTTTTGATTCTATATCTCATATTAAAAGTGTAAAATTAAAATGTATCCTTTCATTTGTATGTGTACACCATCAATTGCACTTGCTGTGTATACCTGTTGATCAAATATTAATCAAAAGAAGCAAAAATTAATTTCAGTATTACAATAATTGATAATTAATCCAATAACTGACTAACAGCATACAAAACCATTCTATCAATACTACTCAATTGTGGCTGACCATAATTGTTCTGATACTCAATTATTCTTGTGTCTCTGAATACAAAGTTCAAAGTCATCCTATACAATGAGGCTTCATTTGAGTCATAATTGCAGACTACTCCATACATTACTATTGTTTTAAAATAAGTACCACACTCAATGGCTGTTTCAGCTACTTTCCCAGCAGCAGCCATCATGTTGGCTAATAATTGTGAGAGAGTACTGTCTTCTGCTGACTCCACTTGCTGTTCCTCATCCTCTTCCATCTGTTGCTCCAATCCCCGATCCTCCTCCAGTTCCAGTACACTTTGTATTACGACTCCACAATACGAGTTTTTCTTCAATATGCAACAGCCTGGTTTTGAATTCTGATAGCATGTATAATTTCGTGAGGCAAGCTGTACCTCTGATATGACAAAACAGTCTTTTAGAAACTACGAGTTGTAGCCAATCCGCCAATTGCTGGTTGTGATTAATCTTAACTGACCGTGCAGGTTTGCTCCGAATGTCATCAAAAGCTTGTTTGGCAGCGGCACGGCACTGCTCCAAAGATTCAATAAAATTTTTAGGATCAATATTCTCCGATGCTTCATAAATGCGTTCAGCTACCTCATCTATTGTAGATTCAAAAAATACTTGTCTTACTGGAATAAAAGGTATTTGAATAACCACTGCAGCTAGTGCAGCTCTAAGATCATCCCAACATCCCTTAAATTCAAGAAAGTGACCTAATGTGGTTCTGCTGGCACGAAGAGGTGTATCAAATACATACATGTACTTCCCCTTCATAACTGTAACATACTCCCCAGCCACATTGCGGTCTTTCTGATCTTCTATTTGAGAGCATGGTTTTAGCATATCTCGTAATGCATCCAAAGGAATTGTAGAGGGAAAGCCAGAGGTGGGGGGAGCATTAAGGCATACTTCACAATAAACTGGATTGTAGATATCTACCAAACAGAATGTCCTACAATAAAGATTTAATATTCAGTTCCATACACCCTTAAAAATTACTTCAAAATTTGACTCACATCTTCATATTATTGTTGTCACTTAAAACTCTGAAGACAAACCCTTTATGTGATGATTGTAAAGTACACTTTTCTGATTCCAATTTCTTCATCAAGGAATCACATTTCTTTGCAACAGCTCTCATATCATTATCAATTTGCCAAACCATATCAAATGCACTTGATGTCGTTTCGGGGAAATTCAATTTACATGTAGCCATAGTCCACAAACGTCCTCTGCAATCCAAGCAATCGGTTATACACTCATTGACATTCTTAATATGTTCCTCAAGAGACTGTATCTCTTTAAGAGCCTGGAGGTGTTTCAATAGCTCCTATTACAAATAGACAGGTCTACTTTAACAAACATCATATCACTGCTTACTGTTTCACCAGATTCAGACATGCCATCCCTTCTACTACTACCAAATCCACCTAATAATAAATTAATAATGAATTAACAATTAATAGAAAGAGTACAGTAAACCCAACAACCTACATAGATACATATTATAGTAGTCTTAATTCTTTTTTGTCATGAATTGATAATTTATATTGTTTACAACGTACATTTTATTTTGTGGTGTTGTGCATTTTGAGAATAATGATAATGATAATAATAATAATATCCAATCACCTTTTTTCATTTTCTCGGCCTTTGGAGCTTTATCAGTTCCACTCTCCTCACTGCTGTCATCATCACTCTTGCTCTCTGATTCCTCCTGCTTTCTTTTAGTACCAGCGGCTTTAGCTGGTTCCTTTGCCTCTTCCTACAGATACACATAATACCAATAGAACCCACCATCAACAATCATCAACTTTGTTAATTCTGATCAAAATTAAATTTTTATAAATTTTAAAATTGTTCCAAAATCGGACCAAAGACCATAGTACACAGTCTTTACCTAAATTTTTAAATTGGCTAGGAAGGAATTCTCCATTTTTATAATTTTTTCTGATACATATACATGTCTTTATGTTGTGTTTGAAGTTAAAGCTGATTCCAATCAAAATTAGAGTTTTTATGAATTTTTAAAGTTACTTAAATACTGGTAACTATGTTTAAAAGTTACAACACACATCAGTGACACATGGACACCATTCTATGACACATGTTGAAGGAAAACTCCACATAACAAATCAAAAGTATGTCACTATTACCTTGCTAGCCTTCTTCTTTTTCTTTTTATCAGTTTCAACTACCTCTGGTACAACTGCTACCGCTACTTCATCACTGTCCTTGGTCTTCTCGAATTTCTTTGACTTTTTCATTTCCGTTTGTTCTTTGACAGCCTATAGCAAAGAAAAGAATACTAGATATTAATAAAAGCTACCTTCTTGCTTTTTTAATCAACAGAACAGTGAATTTAACACAAGGACTCATGTGATCTGACAAGAAGTGGTAATCTACAGTATGCATGCGCAAAACCATGTGGCTCTATCACTTGAGTTGAACTGAAAATTATGTAGCCTAGGTGGTGCAGCAAGGCTTTGGAAGGTGCCTTTGTCTTTTCCTATAGGGTATTCATGCATGAACACACACTCTCTCCCAGTTGCATTGGTTACTGCTGTTCAGTAATACCTGATTTAATGATTGTTATTATGATTATTCATTATTGTGACTTTTATAATTATAAATGATTATAATTATGCATCAATAATTACTAATTAATCACCTGATGCTCTACTTAAAAATAATTATCACTTCTAGTGCATGGGAGGCAAAGTGTTGAGCCCTTGTTTCTTCTCTGTTTTTTGTTAGCAGCTTCTCGAATGGCTTCTGTTTCTTCTCCTCCTGAGCTGAATAGTAAGTGTTTGGTTCTTTATTTCTTATTTTAAAAGCATCATTATATACTACTAGTAAATGATCTTGATGAGGTACTCCGATTACTCAGGAGACATGATTATTTAGGAATCAAAAATTTTGAGCTTGGTCTTAATCTTGGCCTATCTCCTCTTACGTTGAATGTCATCATGCAGAATCATAAAGGAGATATTGAGAGCTTTCTACGTGAATGTCTTATTAAATGGTTGCAGAAAGCTGATGATGTACAGGAGAAAGGTGGTCCTACTATCTATTCATTGGTATCAGCATTGAGGGAATTAGGAGAGAATGGAGTAGCTAAAGGAATAGATATGGAGAGTAAGTTACATTCATTGTAATAGATGTAGAGAGTAATTGACTACATGCACTGTATTTGTTGTGTTTGATAATTTTAGGGCATCCTGCTTGCAAAATTCTAGCCCGTTATACTTCAAAGCGACCTCTTTTCTCTGCGCTAGCTAGGTTGGTTACACTTTTGTATGAAGCAGAACTAATAAAAGTGATGATCCTTCCAGCTAACAAACAAGGAAAAGCACTTCTACTTGAAGTAAAAGAAGCTGTTTGTGCCGATTATCAAAAGCTGAAAGTATTTGCTGATATCTTGTGCAAAATCACATCCACTGCTATGATAGGAAATGCTATTATGAAACAATACGGTAAGTACTAGATCTACTTCATAAATGCAGCTATAAAAAACTGTTATTGTTTTATAGACAACAAATATTGCAGTGACGACTTAAAAGAAGTACATGCTGATGGTAATAATAAATTTTCATGTAGCTTTTATTAATAATTAATATAGACAAAAGGCTGAAGATATATCTTCCTAAAGAAATGACCTCAGAAATTGACTTGATGCGATTGAAGTTGGCAGATACATTTGCTGAAGTTGGGTCAATCATGATGAACATCAACCCTCAGTCTGTATCCCTTGATTATCTCAAGTGTGTACTCGGCTCATATGATAGATCATTAAGGCCTCAATTACTTCAGTGTCAAGATATCCATGCCATTTTACAACTAGTTTATGATATTTGCCAACTTGATGATATTCATGTGCTGGAGTTTTTTGTTAATAAGTTTAACATAGAGGAGGCTAAAGTAGTTATTGAGAAATATAAAGAAGCTGTTGAGGAGTTTAAGAAAACAAAACTCAGAGATTGTCTGGAAAAATCATTTTCAAAGGCCTCGCCACTCGAGTGTGAAAGGATCACCATTGTCGTTGATAAAAAAACAAAAGATTTACTACTTGAAGACATTGAGAGCTTATCATTAGCAGTATTTGATAATTTAGCACAGCGTGTCAGATTAAATGTTATTAGAGAGAGCAATTCTTTCACCATCATTTGTTTTTTCCCATTGATTCTATCTGAGCAGTTGGTTTCAGTTGCTCTTGATAATATTGATGCATTAAAAGCTAATCGAGTGAAGAGACTAACCATTGGATACTGCACTGTGTATGAGGTGAGTATATAGACTATACATGCACTGCATAAACTGATTACATTATTAATTTACAGGTACATAAAATTGATGACACTTCTGCTCCTGCTAAAATTGAATCAGGTATCATATATTGGGAAATTTTGGAGGGAATAAAATTTGGGGAATTGCTAAATTTTAGTGATTGTCAGATTTTAATCTGGCAAATTTGTGGCCCCGTGCCATTGAGCATGTGCATAATGGCTCAAAATGGTGGACTTTTATTTTGGCGAATGGCTGTCAAAATGCCAATTCGCCAAATTTAATTCCCTCCAAAATTTCTCGCTGTACAGTATGTCCTTGTTTGTTCTCATGTGCATGTTTATTGTTGTGAATAATGTGATGTGTATTATCTATTATAGATGAACAACAGTTGCCCTTATCATCACCAAATAGTAGTGGTTTACTCAAGCAACTAATGATATCATTGACTGTACAAATGATTAATAGTGAATATGAGGTGATTAATGAGGTATGTCAAATGATATCAAGTAGTTCATTAGGCCATAGCTATACAGAGCTACAGCCACGACCAATTAACTTTGGTCAACTATAACTATTAATTTATTTATATTAATGTTAAATACCATAAGCCACATTACTTTTCTTGTTTCGTAAACATAGGAAAGTACAAGTACATTGATGAAAGAAGCTGAGTCATTGAAGGAAGTACTGGATACTAAAATAAAGATGCTTAGTGACAGTGTAGCAGAGAGTGATGAGCTTAAAGGTACCTGTATTAATAATAATTCTTTATTGATTTATTTATTTAATGATTTATTAAAGAGGAGTTTGAGAAATTGAAGGAATTAAAAGTAATATTTGAAAACCAGCTTGAAATATTTCAATTGGAATTAAGTAATTAAATGTTATGCGCTTTCCATGCACACAATTTCCTTTTTGCAGTTTGTTCAAATAACTAATCTGTACCTATTATTATAGAAAATCAAGCACATGGTGATGCCATACAACGTTTTTTTGCTATTTTAAATCGAAATCTACTCCGCATTGCAGTGGCTTTTGATACATCAGTTACTGAAACTAAAGGGCTCATGACTGAAGCATTAGATGGGCTAAAAGAGATACGTGAACACAAGGAAGTGAGAGATGTACATCAAGTAAAAGAATCGTATCAATCTTTAAAAGATTCCATGGAAGAAGTTCACACGTACCTTGATAAAGTTAATGGACTGTATCAAACACTCAAAGATCAGCCTCAAGAAGAAGTAGTAAAAGACATTGAGAGTAGGGAAACGGAGAGTACCGAGCAGCTGACTGACAAAATCAACGAAATATTACAAGATAGCTCAGTTCAATATACTACACTTCAGGAATGTTTTGAGAAATTTTCCACAAATTGTAATGAGGCTCAAAGTGAGTTGAGGAGACTCAAAGAAGAAACAGAATCTGAAAGAAAAAAAAGGCAATAACTGCTGGTGTAGTGGCAGCTGGTGGTCTAGCAGTATCTGCTCTAGTTGGATTATTTACTGCTGGAATTGGAGCTGCTGCTGGTACACCTCTTACCTTATTAAGCCTAGAAGGAACAGCAGCTACTACCACATATTTCCTAGCCCTTGTAGTCTCATGTAGCATCACAGCTAAGATATTTGGTAGAATGAATGAAAGAATTGCAAGGCTTAAGCAGTTTAAAGAGATACAGAATATGATAGATGAGCTTAATGGGCAGATAATGAAAGTGAACACAGCAAAAATAAAGAGAATGACAGATGCTGAACGTAAAGATCTTGCTATGAAGATGAAGTCTACACTAGAACAAAGTATAGAATTATTCAACAAGACATCTTTTGGACTAATAACTACCGAACAGATTAAGATAGATTTTACTAACAAAATTGATGAAGCATTTAGTGCTAACTAGTTCTAACTGAGTGAAATTAAAACATTATTACTATTAATGCTATGTGATTTAGTTTTTAGTTTTGTTACACGTGATTGTCATTTAAAATTATGAAAATTACTTTTTTAATTACGATTTTAAAAAGCTATGTCATTATTACCTTGCTAGCCTTCTTCTTCTTTTTATCAGTTTCAAGTACCTCTGGTACAACTGGTGCCGCTACTTCATCACTGTCCTTGCCCCTTGGTCTTCTTGGATTTCTTTGACTATTTCATTTCAGTTTGTTCTTTGAGAATTTGACTGCCTGTTGATAGCAAAAAAAGAAAAAATATAGAGAGCACATTAGATACCAATAAAGGCTACATTGCTTGCTTGCTCTTGTTATCTCAACTCACAGTGTGGGCTGTGGAGAAATCGAGGAAAAATGCGAGAGTTATTCCTGCTCTTTTAATCTGACACTGAACTGTGAACACGAGGACTCATGTGACTAGGAGTGGTCAAGTATTATACGCATGCGCAAAACCACGTGGCTTAATCGTTCTGTTTAGAGACTGTAAGAATGCATAAACTCTGCTGTAACACAGAACGAATAACCTTATTAGCCATAACTTTCCATTACGCTACCGTATAGCGGAAAAATTTCGTGGTCCAAAATTTTCGTGGATCCGTCCAAAAATCAATTTCGTGGCTTTAATTTTCGTGGTTTTCTACAATTCGGCCATCTTAAACCGTATAAAATCAATTTTCGCGGATTTTATTTTCGTGGATTTTGAAAAATGCGAAATCCGTGAAAATTTTGGGCCACGAAAATTTTCCGCTATACGGTATATTACTGTTATTTTTTGTTACAATAGAAAAAACTTATATTTACATAATAATACACTCGATAAGAATGATAAGAAATAAAG